CATGTATAAATGAAGGAGGATAAATATGGCTAATAAATGCATGAATGTTATTTCGAGATTGATCATCATTGTCCAAAACCTCTTTGTATGCTTAATCAATGAAAGAGAGGGTTTGATTAGCCATTAGAGATGTATCAATCCATTCGTTTACACAGATAGTGGAGGTAGTGTTCAAGCACAAGGGAGAATTTAATGAAGTTCAGTGTTTCATTGCTTGAAGATGGTTACACTTCCAGGATAAATTCCATGCATGTCCTAGGACATGAGAGAAGCGCATTGATCCACTAATATTACTAAGTATTGCCTATATTAGTGCGGGGAGTAATGTTGGCTATATATTTTGTACAGACCTATCGCAACCTAACACGTGGATTATAAGGGGCAAATTGAGGAATAAGTAAAAGTCTCCAATCATCAACAGACGCGTGGCTACTTGTAACAATGGCAATAGATCCGCGAGACATGGGAACAGTCAAGGTATCCAAGGTGACGTGGCCAAATGATTGTCTACAATTTAAATTCAAATTTAAGAGGGAAGCACAACCATGAAGAATGAGATATGGGATAGTGGAAACTAATTGATCAAAGCTACATGCCGCACTCAGTGATCATAGAGATCATTTCGATAGTTATCACCTACTTCGACGGATTATTAGCCACTTCGACAGTTATATTCAGAGCCTATAAACAAAAGAGAAGCGCTGATAGTAAATGATGCAACGAGATCCAGAAACCAATTCATTTATTTTATATTTTTCAGTCCTTTAAATTCCAGTCTTTATATTCCTGTATTGTACTTCAAATTCTTAAGAGTAATTCTAAGTTAGTCTGTTGTTGTAATCTCCTTCGAAACTGTGAAAGTGTGAAGGTACAATTGTAAACTTCTGTTTACTTAATGGAATATTGATTTCTGACACTGTTGTTCCCTCTTTCATTTATTTTTTCTAGTTTTCTTAATTTTCTCTTAAAAACTAAGTCACCAGTAAAATCTTCTTCATTGTGGCCAAAAGAACTTTAAAACAATCGTCTGACTAATTAATTAATATTTATTAATTTTTATAAGGACCCATTAATTTTTACTGATACGTTTGTAATTTTAACTTTCAAAAGTTAAAAAAGTTAACAAACAGAAAGTAAGGAAGGAAAAGGAAAGAAGAAAGTAAGGGAGAGGGGGAGGGGGCTTGGCGGGGTAGAGTCAGCCGTCAATGGATAAAAGGGAAAGGGTGCCGCTGCTGCTCCTGGCGATGGCAGTGGGTTTGACAATTCCTAGAAAGAGAAAGTAAGAGGATGTTAGAGGGGGATCTAATTTGGATCAAGAGGAGAGAGAGAGATATTGGAAAGTGTTGAGAGAGAAAATAAAATGCGAGCCTTTTTTCAAGTGAGACTTTGGTTAAGTTTGGAAAGATTAAATAAATATATTTTTTAATTTTTTTATATTATGCCTAAAAAAAATAGAGAAAAAATATTAATTGATGTAACTCAAAAATGATAAAAAGATAAAATAAATATACTTTTTTAAGTTAGCTAAAATTGACCTTTCTATAAAATATGACATTAAGGCCTCGTTTGGGAACAGGTTGATTTAGTAAATTTTTGGCTATTTGGCTAAAAAGGCTCCTGGCGATGGCAGTGGGTTTGACAATTCTTAGAAAGAGAAAGTAAGAGGATGTTAGAGGGGGATCTAATTTGGATCAAGAGGAGAGAGAGAGATATTGGAAAGTGTTGAGAGAGAAAATAAAATGCGAGCCTTTTTTCAAGTGAGACTTTGGTCAAGTTTGAGAATACTAAATAAATATATTTTTTGATTTTTTTTATATTATGTGTAAAAAAAATAAAAAAAAAATATTAATTGATATAATTCAAAAAAAATAAAAAGATGAAATAAATATACTTTTTTAAGTTAGCTAAAATTGACCTTTCTATAAAATATGACATTAAGTGTGATATAAAAATATAATAAATGTGCCAGCAAAAGACTGTGTGGGTCTCTATCAACTTTCACCGTCAACAGTGGGTCAGCAAAAGACTTTGTGTGGGTGATGAGGTAGAAAAGAAAACGAACAGGATAGAGATAAGAGCAAAGCTATTTTGACCGGAAAAAAAAAGGATATAGAATTTGTAAAGTTATGTGACAGTGATATTTATGAAATTAATAATCAACTTGATAATTTTTTTATTTTAAAGTAGTTGGCCAATTTGAAAGGTTAGTTAAAAGTTTTTTTTTTAAATTTTGATTGTTTTGATTTTTTTTATTTTTTTGTGTGTAAAATTATAAAAAGTGATTTGATCCAAAATAAATTTATATAATTTCGTATAATTTTTTTATATATTTGTTTTTTTATTTTATATAGTGTTACTAGAGATAATTGATAGGTTGACCCAATACCCAATAGCCATATGTCTAATCATTTTAACGAAAGAAAATGGTAGAGGTCCTAAATTTTTTATCAAATAAATGACCAAATATCTGTGGGGTCTACAAAATTATAGATCTCACTCCCATGTGAGATATTTGATCATTTATTTGGTAGAAAATTTAATGTCCTGACATTAACTTTTAACGAATACAATTGAACTTTGGAACTGCTTTGCTGGCAAATCGAACTTGGCTGCTTTATTTTTTTATTGGATAGGGGACAAACTTTTGGATTCTGATTGGTTCAAATTTCAAAACATAGTTCTATCACTGATCGGAATGTGGTATTTAGTTGTAGTTTTTAAATCATAATTTTATACTTATTTTTCAAAACTCATTTCAAATTATAATCATTACTTTTCAAAACTCATAACTCAATACATGATTCAAAATTCTTTTCAAAACTAAAAAACAACTTAATTTTTATTTTAAATATTTTTTATTTTAAATATTTTATTTTATAGGAATATTTTTAATATTTTAATTTTCATAAAAATATTTTAATATTTTGATATTTTAATTGTAAATATTTTGATTTTTGGAGTATTTTTAATGTTTTGATTTTCGGAATATTTTTAATATTTTAGTTTTCTAAATAATTTTAATATTTTTAATATTTATACAGGCCTAAAAACTAAATTGACAGAAAAATTAATTGACATAAAATAATTGACATAGAAGTTATTTAAAAAAAAATTAATGGAAAAAAAATTATTCAAAAAAATTACTTAAAAACAATTAATTGGAAAAAAAAAATCATTGTTTTATTTGAATATTTTAAAAATAATTTAGTTATAACTGTTGATCAAAAATACGGATATCGAGTTATGAGTTGTGTATTTGATTATCAATTATAGATTGAATTAAGTTTTGAAAATTATTTTGAAAACTCAACACCAAACAAATTTTCTTATATCACATGTCACATCAAACTTTCAAAACTCAATTCCACATACAATTCAAAATTCAATTCAACACTCTATTAAAAAATCATAACGAAACAAATTTTCTACACTCAAATCATAATTTCATAACTCACAAACTCAAAATACAACTCATACTCTCAAATCATATTTATAAAACTCAATCAAACACAACCTTAGTTTTTCCGATTACAACTCCTTCCCTCCCATCCCACGTGGACATGAGTTCATGAGCTGGTCCACAAAACCTTGACATTTGGAAATACAATACAATATAGTGCCAAAAAAGAGATAATGAGAAATAAAGTCCAATTGATCATTCAGGTAAAATATTACATGATTGAATTTGTAATAAATTATAATAAAATTATAAAATTTTAATTGTAAATTTTAATTTTTTTATTTTTATAATTTATGTATAAAAATTCAATTATTTTATTTATATAAAAATATATTGTTAATTTTTTTTTATCTATCATGCATAACATGGATTATTATTAATTTAAATAGATGTTAAACGAATCAAATTTTAATATATTTATACTTATTTATAAAAATTTTAATGAATTTAAATGTAATAAATTGAATTTAAACGAGATTTTATCAAAACCAAATCTAATTTATTCTTGAACGACTTTATATATTCGCGATCCTTAAAATCCCTGCTGATCCTGTGGCCCCCTTCTTATGGGCTACTGAACATTTGACGCGTGTAGAACTCCCATGGAATGGACGGTGGATGAGTTTCCTCAAAGACCGCAACAAATAGAAGACATTCCAAATTAAAAAATGATATGTTGATGGCCAATTACACAAATTAGTTTTCAGTGCTGCTACAGAGCCCCACTGGGGTCGACCCCAGTGACGTGGCGGGCCTTCATTGGCCAGTTTTCTGTTTTTTTTTTTTTTTTTTTTTTTTTCTTTCTCCCAATCCTGCAGTGCCACGTGGCACGGGGGTTCGGTGGGGGTCACATTTGCTGGGCATCCGGCGCATTTCTGATTAGTTTTAGAGTCGTCAAACTCTTTTTCAATACTGGATTTCGGAATTTGGCTATGGGCATGGGGTAATCAATTGGTTTATGTCTGGGAATTTTTTTATTTTTTAATTTTTTCACTACATCGCTAAAATCTTTATATATTTTTTTAAATTGGGAACTTTTTTTTATTGGTTATGATTTACGTGATTTAGGGATTGTATTTTTTTATTTATATGTTGGGTTCGCGTCAATGCTTAAAAAAATAACAAAATAATCACTTTGATGGGTTTTCATTTTCAAAATTCACTTTTCAATTTTTTTTCTGTATTTTTTTTTTACTAATTTTTTTTAATGTTTTAAGTAATTTTTTTTAATTTTTAGACACAATTAATATAAATACACTTAAAAAATATAATATTTATCAAAAAAATCTTTAAAAAACTAACCAAGTACCAAAAATATTAAAAAAAATACGAAAATTCAGTATATTTTTCACATTTTTATGTATTTATTAATTTTTTAAAATATTTTTTTACAAATATTTTATTTTTTAGATACACATTTAAAAAATAAAAAAATTACTTAAAATTTTAAAAATATTAACTAAAAATTAAAAAAAAAAACACACACACACAACAAACAAAAAATTAAATTTAAAAAATTAAAACCAAACAATAATAATAATTATCACAAGAATGTCATTTCGAGCAAAATTACCTGAAATACAATCTGTTCTCAAAAAATTATCAGACTTAAAAAAACTGCGTCTGATAACATCTCTACATAATAGTTTACATATATGCTTCGAATTCAAACTAACGCTAAATATATACACATCCTATTCTATATCCCACATATATTAATACAATTTAATAGTCACTTTTTTAAGCTACCACAGCTACCAGCATTGGTCCGTCTCCCACGTGCGTCGCTTGTAGCCGGAAAACCCCAAAGCCGACGACGATCGCAGCCGAAAGAGAGACCGATCGTAATCGGCGCGTTTTAGGGGATCAGACAGGGTGGAATAGGCTGTGTGGATCCTGATGAACTCATCTGCGGACGTGTCTTTTTGACCGTTGGATGAGACGTCCGGATGTAAGACTCTAGCCAATCTACGGTACGCAGTCTTGATCTCTTGACAAGACGCGTCCATCTGAATCCCCAGGACTTCGTATAGCGATGCTGCTGATGTGGCAATGCCGTAGTGAGAGACGTGGGGCCTACTCGCCGCCGCCGTCGGCCTTTCGGCGGTGGTGGAAGCGGCGGAGATGCGAGGTGATGGCCGGAATCTGACGCACGGCGGCGGCGGCGGAGGAGGAGGAAAATCAATTGCGGGGGATTTGGGGCAAAGGAAAGGAGTTGAGAGAGGAATGGATGGGGAAAACATGATTCGCTTCGGTTTGTATGGTTGGATTTGGTTGTGAATTATGGAATGGATATTGTGAGGCAGTTTAGTGATGTGGTCCGTATATATTTAGGAAATTGGAAAGAAGAGAGAGAAAAGTTGGAAGTTAGTTTAACCATGGTTAAGATGTGTGAGGTTGGGTTAAGAAGGTTCGTAGGCTTATCCACTTGGATATGCTGACTCGGCAATCCGTCGGTGTCCAGCGAATCGGTGATGCGTTACGGATTAATTCGTTTATTAATTAATGTATTAATATATATTATAATAATATTATTTTAAAACAATAAAATCACTCATTACATAAATTATAAATATTTAGAAATTTTAAAATTATGTCACATATAATAATATTATTTTAAAACTATAACCTCACTCATTACATAAATTATAAATATTTAGAAATTTTAAAATTATGTCACATCATCTATTACATTGTGTTTGGTTGAGAATTTGAAAAGTAATTTTAAAAAATAAAATGAAAAAAAAAATGAAATGTGAATAAAATATATTTATATTTCACACACTTTTTTCTCTTTTATTTTTATATTCCTTTTTAAATTTCTCAACTGAATATAATTTAATATACTAAGTGTCGTTTTGGGAAGGGTTATAAAAAGTCACGTTTTTTATCATTTTCCAAAAACGCAAATGGCCAAAAACGTAACAAATTTGGTTTGGGAATGGCCAAAAACGCAGGTGTGAAATTACAAATTAGGCCCTATGACAAAAAATAAAAAAAAATAAATTTCTTATGTTGGGTAAGGATATTTTGGTCATTTTAATTTGATTTGACACTGTAAATAAATATTAAACTAAAAAGTAAAAAGTCAATTTTTTACTAACTTCCTAAATCACTCTCCAAAAAACTAAAAAACTTTTTAAAAAATCAAAAACCGCTTTTTTACAAACTTTCCAAAACACTCCTAATTAATATACCAATCAATACATTTGGTATTATTCATCAAAAATATCTCTTCTCACAACAACTAGGAGACAAGAAAGAAAAACAGTCCTAGTGACCGTCCATTCATTTGGTTAAAATTAAAAAGTTGCTTTATTTTTTTTACTTTTTCTTTTAGTAACTTCTAATGATTTTTTATTTTACTTTTTACTTTTTTAAATCTGTTGCAATTAAATAATTCTAAAATTTTAAAAATTTTAGGACAGTGTTTAGTATGAATTATTGTAAACTAAAAACTGAAAATCAAAAAGTTATAAGTTGAAGCATTCCTTTTCCAACTTCTAAATAATCAGTTTTTCTCAACTTATTTAAATTATTTCTGCCTAAAAAAAAGTAAGTAAAAATTATACCAAACAGTCTGATACAAATTTTCAAATTAAAATGAGTTATAATAACCCTCTATAATCCACACCAAACACTCCCTCCACCTATAAAAAAAAAAAAAATTTTGAAATTTTGTTTGGCGAGAAATCGAGACGTTGAGATACTCATAAGGACAAGATAAAATTATCAAAACACCCACGTTTATATATTGTATCACCACCCACTATTTCGTTTATTCTCAACCCTTCTCTCTCTCTCTTTATCTCTTTATTCGGAGAAAATCCTTGCTGAAAAAGGATAGAGTCCAACATCGTCATGGGCGACAGGAGTCCACGCAGCATTGTGGCAGTCCATTTTTCTTAGCGATGGAGAGTCCATTTCGTCGAAGTCAAGCATTGAGTTCTTTGAGATCGTAGTGGACCTCGGATCTGGATCTTCCTGATTTTGAGCTTGAGGGAGTTGGAAAAAAGAAGAGAGGCGCTGGATTTATCTTCGTTCATGCTTCAGGAGCATCATTGGTGAAGTCTGAAGATCGTTCTTCATTTTGGCCCTCAGATTGGAGTTCGGATCCTCGGCCGCTCATTCCTGCGGTTGTTCCTACGGCACCCCCAAAACGACGTCGTTTTGGGGGAAATTTCAATTTAAAAAAAAAAAAACAAACCAGAACAGAAGCAAAGCAGAGAGGGAGAAGAAAGAAGGAAAAAAGGAGAAAAGGAAGACAGTGGCAGATCCGAGCAAACCAGAGAGGAAAAAGAATGAATGAAGAAGGGAGAAGAAGAAAGGCAGCGGCAAATCTGAACTCCTTCTCTGTGATTTGAATTTTTTTTATTTATTGATTAATTTTACTTCAATATTCTAATGAGTGAATCACAAAAATGAATATATTCATGGCTATTTGAAGAGAGAATCACAAAAATGAGTGAATCACAAAACCCAGAAATCTTGCTTTTGTAGAGAGAATTAGAGGAGATATGGGTTGTTTGTGTGGTTGAGGGGGAGAAAAAGTTGGTTTGGGTTTGTGTAAAGAGCTAGGGTGGGTTTGATAGTTTTTTTTTTAGACATCCTCTTCTCCCCCTCTGATTTGGTTTGCAGATCCTCTTCTTCCCCTCTTTGGTTTGGTTTGCAGATCCTCTTCTCCCTCTCTCTGGTCTGGTGTGCTTCAGTTCTGTTTTTTCTTTTTCTTTTTTTAAATTGAAATTTCTCCCAAAACGACGTCATTTTGAGGGTACCACAGGAACAGTCGCAGGAATGGGCGACCAAGGATCCGGACTCGTCAGATTGTTGCTTTTGGCTTTTTGAAACAACTTTTTTTCTGATTCCCTTTCTATGCAAATTTATGTCATTATTTTAAGGAATATATTATTATTTTCTCAATTTTTTATATACAGATAGATAGCTTTCTAACATCTATTCATTATTTATTGTTTTCTCCAACATAAGCTCAGTATCAGTGAATGAAATTACGCAACAACTACAATGCGTATTCTTATTTAGAAGCTTCACCTGACTTTAAGCCATCAGTGCTTTTAGATTCTTACAAACTTTATTATTTTTCTGTGGATTGAAGCTCTCTTTGAAGTTCATCGATACTGAACAGTTTCAGAGGCAAGTCTAATTTTGACACTTGACTACCCTTTTCCTCCTCTTTGTTATGCTTTATAGTTTCCCCATGACTAACGATCTGATAACTTTTCTTCATATTGCAGACTTCGTGATCTAAAGCAACACGGTGAGGCTTGATTTTTCATTTTTTCTAAACTTCATTAATAGGAAAATTAGTTTATGACTTGGAGCACCGTGACGACGCTACTCTAGAACCTCAGATCGACCTTGAAGTTGTTAGACTTATTTATTTTGATAATTTATTTAATTATGTTTTAATTTATTTGAAATAAAAAAATAGAATCCAAAATTTTTTTTGATGATTTATTTAATTATATTTTAATCAAAATTTATTTTGATGATTTATTTGAAAGAGAAAAATAGAATCAAAATTTATTGCGATTATTTATTTGAAAGAGAAAAATATAATTAAAATTTATTTTGCCCCATTATTTCTCACATAAACCTTTATCTTAAATGTTATTAGAATGTATTTAATATTTGATTAAATCAGGAGTTCAAACAGCCAAAAACAAAGGTTCAAACAGCCTAGCACAGTAGCAGGCCAAAAGGTTCAAAAGGTTCAAGTGAAAGATATTTAAGTTAGTAATGATGGAAGTACAACGGTTATAAACGTTCAAAGGGCCAAAAGGTTCAAGTGGAAGATATTCAAATTTGTAATTATGGAGTGAAAGATATTCAAATTGGTAATGATGGAAGTACAACGGCTATAAACGACTATAAATTCAAATGACTACAACTGTTATAAATTCAAATGAATACAATGGCTATAAATGGCTATAATTTTTATTATATATACCAAAGCTTCTAATGTAAACAAGTTAAAAAAAAAAACCTGAAAATATTCTTTGATCTATAATCACTCACATCTATTCTCAGAAATTATACACTGAGCCTTATAGCATTAAGCTCATCTTTCCTGTGTGAGATTTACAGAAAAATCAAAACTTCATTTTATATATCTATCTTTGAGAGATATTTATTGTAAGTTTTCTTTGAAAGCAAAAATACCATTTCATCTTGTAAAAGTATTGCAAACACTGTGTTCTTGAAATCTTGAGAATGATTATGAATTACCTAAGATTTGCAAGGGTTTGGGCTTGTGAAATCTGTATAAAATCTGTGAAGGATTGCTCCATTTGTAATGAGGTTGCTAGCACCCCTGTGAAGCTAGAAGATATTGAAAAATCTCAAGTGAAACTTGAGGAGTGGATGTAGGCTTGGTTAAAGCCGAACCACTATAAATCTGTTTATCTCATCTTCTCTAATCTCTTTACTTTCTTACTACTGCTATAGCTATCTAATATTCATGTGTTAATCATTTGATTTACCATGTATATTAGTTATAATTCATTGTTATTTTGCTTGATCATTTACTACTAAGTTCATCATTGTGCTTGTTAATAATTTGTTGTTCTAGTAGTTAATTTTATTGGGGTATTATTAATTTTAATTTGTAGAAACCTAATTCACCCCTCTTAGGTTGTTTTTTGGGTAACAGAAGTCCTACGCGAGCCATTGATAACAAAGCTCAATGCGAGAGAGAGAGAGGTATGTAGATGTAGAGAGCATTGATATAATTATATATTGAAAACTCCAAAAATCTCTGAAATATTGATTTGTGATTATGTATCAATTTTAAGCAATAAATAACAATCTCAATCAAACAATCAAGACAAATTGACACAACAATTTTAACATAGAAAAATCACAATTGGAACGTCTCTAATTGTGTTAAAAAATCACGGGCCAAAGCCACAAAATAATCCACTAAGAAGACACAAAGGAATTACACAACTGTATTCTCAATTACCTAGCGAATCCATGCCCCAATCGAATCGACCCCTATATGCCTCTTCCAGCCCCGTCTTTACCTCAGAATTGTCTTACCCAATGTTTAGTCCACAACGCTGATGTTGAATCCACGATGATGATCCACTCCGGAATCTACCAAAGCTTTAGGCCCAAATTGCACGGAATCTACCGAAGAACAAATCTCTATTTTGTAAATAAAACAGAATAAACAAACCCTTTGATATAGTTCACTTAATGCATGATATAAGCTCTCACCGATATCAAAGGAAACAAGCAAAGAAACTCCAGAAGAAAACCCTAATATCCAAGAAGAAGATCTGGAA